TGGGGTGGGGTGTTGACGACCTTAATCAACTAGCTAGCTATTGGTCTAGCGGTCTCCTCCCAATGTTGAGACTTGGAAGAGGTCCTAACTTCACTTAAAACATTTTTTTTAAATGGTTATATTGTACTGATGGTTTTTCTTCATTATTCCTTTTATTTTCGGAAGAGATGCTTTATATTTCAACCATCCCTCTGTATGTTTTTCGGTGGTTTAATAGATTTGAATTGGAAAGGAATCCTTTTTTCTTACGACTTATCGAAGAACAGAGGGAAATGAGAGAAAATGAACGTTGAAAAGATTAGCATAAGAGGGATATGTAGCAAAAATAAGAAAAATTATTTCGTTAATGCTTTTTGAAACATAACAATAATGTTTCTTCTAATCTTTTACAAAATCATTTAAATTATTCGAGATAAATTGATTTTTTCTTCGATTTTTTACTTCTTTGTTGCATAAGTAGTCTTTTTATTTTCAATGGTTAACTTCAATTTAGTACTCTGACCTTTCACTAACATTGGGTTAATTTCAGTTTAGTACTCTAACCTTTCACCAACAAAACATGTTAGTACCCATGTTTTCAATTTTAACATTTAAGCACCCACACTTTTTCGAAATTGTTGCAATGTGGTGATCGTACCTTATGTTTTGCGCCCAAGATGTAGACAACAATTTAACATCAAAATAACAAATCCAGTATGCCTCATATGAAATGAATTTACACTTCTAGAATCTTCATCCCATAGCCAATTTTCACATTCGTCATAATACTTTTATACACTTCAAAAACTGTTGGTATACTCAGAATTGTAATTTATCTAAGCCACCTAGCTAGAAGCATTTGTTAATCAAGTATGCATTGGCAGCAGCTAAAAACACTACCTATGTTTCTTTCCTACCATAGATTTCCAAGCATTTTTCCTTTTCTCCCACCTTAGTTGTTTCTTTCTTTGAATTTTCATCCCTCGATACCTTTCTCGATCCTTCCACCAGCTAGAATAATCTTTCGCTGGGTTGCACACAATGAAGTCTGCTAAATCATCTATGTCAGATTTCTGGGAGCTTCCTAGTATGCAATTGAGAAAAACCTCCCCGTTGCAGGTCTCCTCTGTTTCCTCCATGACATCCATAGACTCCCTTGTACACCTCATGAAACATGCATTTTCTGAAGTTTCTGCTACCTCACTTTGAGATTCTTTGCTGAAAAATAATAAGGGGAAAAACTGATTTAGCTTTGAAGGCAGCATGTACCATCACGTAAGAGTAATGCCCGTTTCCAATTGTTATTCGACTCTAATAAATACTTATATCAAAGACATCCTCACTTTCAACAAACCAAGCACTAACAGTTCCAAAGGAAGAGATAACCAACATCAAACAGGAATGATTAATTGAATTTATTCAAGTGATCATAACAAGTTACTTATTCAAGCTAGAACTATAGAATCCTCCTTTTCTTCTTTCTCGAACCAGAGTGCTCCATGATTAAGTGCAGTGATTTTTCTTTTGCTGCAGAACTATAGCACGAAATTTCTTACGCTCCAAGGACTACCAATATCATGGTTCAGTACATGTCTGAAACCACAACTCTGAGAAGACTGATAGTGTAAGTTTCTAATGAAAACTAGCTGCTACTGAAATCTAATCACAACTACATTACAATCTCTTTATATTTTTTATGGTTTAAAATGAGAAGAAACAAGCATATTTAGAGTCAACTCCGATGCCACCTCCTTGAATTTCTAACAACCTACTCTTTGTCCTAAATAACAATCTCAGAAGAAATTTCGTTTGGCATCATTATATGCATTCAACGGATTCAATGCCAAATGAGACACATATGATGCATTCGGAGAACAAATGATGAATAAGACTTTGCATTATAGATACACATTATCCATGTATCTGTTGGAATTATAGATACACATCTGATGGCATTATCAATAATATAACGTGGATGATGGCTTGAAGCAACCTCCCAAAAAAAAAAAAAAGCAGATCTGGAAGCTTCACTACACAAAAATTGCCAAATAAGGCCTGAGTAACCTTATGCAAGTCTTAAAGCTAGACAAATATGACCCCGCAAGAGAAGCTCCCAAGAAAGAAAATGCATGGTAGGCAAGAGAACTATGAACAGCAGATACAGTACACAATAGTATTTTGTACCTCAAGTGAAGTGTTTGAATTTTCTGAAATTTCATTGCAACTCTTCTGACAGATTTCTTTTTCACCATGGCCTGCATCATATGTCACTTGTTTCAAATCTATATCATCCAGTTCAAAGAATTAAACATTTTTTCCTTTTTTGTTTTACAAAAGTTTGAAGAATGAAACATGAACATACGAACTGAACTCAAAAAAGTCATATAGAAAAACAAAGCTCACCTCGGTAACCTTGTCAGAGGACAATCCAGATGAAAAGGTTTGTGAGCCAGAAACTAGCAATGAGCTGAGTGCCACTAAATCACTCTCTTCAAAAACATATAGATGCAATAGTGCCATGATTGTTGATATGCAGCCCTTAACTAAGAAATCAATCCCACTAGCAAAACATAAGGACAGCAAGCCTGAAAAATGCAGAAGCATCCACTTGGAAGTCTTATGTATCAATGGGCAGGTTTTCATCATGTCGAATAAGAACTTTTGATTCGGTAGAGACACGTTGAACTGGTGAAAACAGCCAATGATATCCACTACAAAATCATATTCCTTTGAAGAGACATCTTTTAAGGTTCTTGGAGAACCCAAATCCCCACCATGCCTTAGGGAACAAATAGCTTTCAACAAGGAAGTACTCATTAACTTCAATATGGAAGCAAGAAGATACATATCTTGGGGACTTGTAACCCCTTTTCTATACAACACTGTATCACTTACATCACAAGAAAAACTTAAAAGTATTATGCTACGTAAGACTGACAATATATGATCTCTACATGATTCATCAAAAATATGTTGGCTCTCATTTACGTATGCAATAGAAGCAGCCATCAGGTCAGCTTTTGTTCTATGGAACATATTGCACAAATACAAGTCCCATAAAGAATCTGAATTGGTAACTAGTTCATAAATTTTATCTCTTGTGACTTGTTGAATATAAGATTCAAAGGAAGGTTGAGAACTTCTCCCTAGCATGCATGAACTGTCATAAGAACATTTAACACCCAAGGGATGGAAATCCATAAGTGAACCAGACATGTGGCTGGTGTACAAATGGACAGACCTTTCAAATGCTGTTAGGTAGCCTTCCATCAGTCTAAGATCTGGTCTAGCATTCTTCAAAGACATGTCTACATCAATGGCTTCAGAAACCAATAAAGTCATATGTGTCTGCAGCATTTTTGGTGCTGAAAGCATGATGGGGTTTTGAAGCAATGACACCGCAGAAGTCAGGCTCAGTTCAGGAACTCTACAATGCTGTCCGAAGTCACAGAACAATCTTTTAAGGAAGTTCTCATTTGCTTGCTTGCCATAAACTGACGAGATGAAATGAACAGAAATCACCTCCAGAACACTTCCAATATCACCTTTAACAAAGTGGCACTGAAATAGAATTTCAGTTGTGGGAGAAGTAGAATCAACAAGGCTAAAGTACTCTCTCAGCAATCTACGCGTTACAAGTTCATCTGCAAATATCTAAAGACAATCTATCAAACTTCAGTTGTGAATAGGTGCAATAACTCGTACAAAAGTAATTAAACATTGGAGAATGGCGTGAGAACTTCAGATGGAGGAATGACACCAAAATTTGAAAGAGATCAAGCTTGCTTCAAATAACTATTTGACGAAACTACAAAGTATAAGATCATTGCGCAACAGAAAATCTAGTCAAGAAAATATTTGATCCGGATAATAATGAAGCAATATACTATATTATGTCAATAGAATGCCACCCAAAAAATAGTTTACATCCATTTGACAATGAACCACTAACTGGAGGTTATCAAGAAAATTTGCAAACAGGGGAGGTCAATGTCAATTTGAAAATAGGTAGAAAAGCAATTTCACTGAAGTTTGAAACATGTTTGAAACATGGACAGACCTCATATAAAAAAGGGAAATTATACAACTGTGCAAGCCCTGAGCTTTCCTACCAGGTCATTAAACGTACGATAAAGATTTAGTTCCTCAATATTTTTTGTTTTGCATCTTTTGTTTTGACATATTTTATGTGAACATGTCAACTACCAGGAATGCCATGGTATTGATAGTTTTGAAATGTCTTAACTGTTCTGCATTGGAGAGTGACACTTGAAATTCTGACAAAACACTCAATGGGAATAGGATCTTTGAAGTGGAATTCTTCTCCAACTGCAAAAGGAATATATACAGCTGACCAGTGCAAAAATGTCCTCAAAGCATGAATCTATTTATTCATATCCTTATCTTGGATGCTACCCTGATTGCCAATGAGGTGGTGGAGGAAAGTCGGAAGCTAAACAAGTCCAGATTGGTGTTCAAAATTGACTTTGAGAAAGCCTATGATCATGTGGAATGGAGATTTGTAGATGAGGTTATGAATAGGAAGGGCTTTGGGGTAAGGTGGAGAAGTTGGATCCGGGGTTGTCTAGAGTCTGCTAACTTCTCGGTGATGATTAACGGAAGACCCAGAGGTAAATTTAGAGCCACCAGGGGATTGAGACAAGGAGATCCGCTCTCCCCTTTCCTGTTCACCATGGTGATTGACGTGTTAAGCAGAATTATTGAGAAAGCTCAGGCTGTGATCAGTTTCATGGTTTTTTCTCGGGTCATGAGATGGTGGAGGTCTCCCACCTTCAGTTCGCCGACGATACCATCTTTTTCATAGAGGACAATGTTGAGTATTGGAATAATCTCCTTCAGATTTTGGATCTGTTCTGCTACACGTCAGGTATGAAAATCAACAAACTGAAATGCTCCTTAGTTGGTATTAATATT